TAAATTTAAATTAACCTTGAGATCTGAGGGAAGGAGGGGAAGCAATTTGAGAAATAAAATTCCTAACCAAGTTTTAAAAAAGCAAGTGTTTTTTTAAAAATTTCAAATTTATAAGAAAAAATAGTAATTATAAGCAAAAAAAAAAAAAAAAAATTCTTAAATTATTAATACTTCATCCACAAAACTCAACTTTATACCTCCCTTAGTTAATGAATATGACTAGATATCTGACTTTCCTTCTCGCAAATTTTGACGTTAGAAAAGAAGGTGGCAATCCCCTTACACCTTAATTACTTTCCCAATCCCACCAAACTAATAAGTGCTGACGTAATTTTACATCAATCAAAGGAGATAACACAGAACGTAAACCCCGTATTATATTTGCCGCCTACATAATTATTGGACCGATAAACTTATTTTTAATCATTTATTTTATTAAATTTATAAATTTTAGTACTTATAAAAATAATAAGATATTTTTAATTTTTAATTTTATATTATAATACTTTTAATTTTACATTTATTAAAATTAAAAAAATAATCTTCACTCTATAATATTTGTTAGTTTTATTAACTATTAACTTTATTAATTAAAAATAAATTTTTATCGATTAATAATTAATTAATAAAATATTATAAATAAAAATTATTTTTATTTAATTTTAATTAATAAAAAAATAAAAATATTATAATATAATACAAAAGATCTAAACTTACAAATTTAATAAAATAAAAAACTAAAATCAAGCTTTTACCACAGGGATGTAGGTATGGTAATGAAATTGGAATATATATTATTAATAATTAATTTTTGCAAAGCCGAGAAAGAAGAAAATGCCCCGGTTAAACCCAACTTAGATATGGACTCATTATTGAAAGGACCACTGAGCCTAAGCAGGGACCACAAGTAAGCCTGTCGAGTCTAAAACGGCGGCCCACCATTGTTTTCAACATGACGATAGCCTAGGCCTAGAATGTCCTTTCCTTGATTCAAAACGTGATGCCGCCAAAGCCGACGGAAATTTGGTTTCTTCCCACGTTGGGCCCACAATATGTCCCCACGGGCCCACCAGATTACTCAGACTCAGGCTCGCCCGGCGATATATCAACATGAAACGCACATTTTTAGAAACGCACGGACTTAAATATATTAGGAGTGGGACAAAAAACTTATACTTGAAAAAATTTTAAAAATTGATAAAATTATAATTGATGTGTATGGTTTGATTAAATTTTAGATTTATTTGATTAAAAATTAAATTAAATTAATTTTAAATAGTTTAAATTTTAGTTACTAAGTTTAAAAATTAAAAAACTGATAATTAGAGTGGATATAATTAAAAAAATTCAAGTAAAAAACCTTTTATATAAATTTTGTTAATGATTTATAAATTTCTTTAAGATTTTTTAGTCACATTTTATCAAATTATTTACTTATTTATATAATTTTAATTTGTGTTAATGAAATTAATAAAATAATAATTAAAGGATTCAAAAA